AAAAAAAAAAAAAATACATAAAGTTATTTATTTTTGCTGAGGGGAGAGGGAAAAAAAGACTAGTGGTAATACTGAAATGTTAACTATGCTCAACTATAGTGGATGGGTTTGTGGGTGGATGATTTTTATTTTCTTCTCAGTGCTATGATGTATTTTCTAAATATTTATAAAACAAATACTTGTATGATGGTGGGGGGGGAGTTAGGGGAAAAAATTAAAGAAATAAATGAGGCCATCTCAGAAAAGGATTCAGTGGAAGGGAGTACCAGCCCAGCTGTGTGGAAATATTCTTTTTGCTCTGTTTTCTTTCATCCCAATAATTTTGCCAGAAAGTGGAAAAGTAAAAAAGAGACCCAAACAGTTACTTTCTACTTAGACTAAAAATAGATGCCTAGCAGATCCAAGGGAAGAAAGAAAGAAAGAAAGAAATCTGGAAGTGATGGAATAGTCCTCTAAGTTATATAGGTTTCATTCCTTATCCTGTGACCAGCGTTTGAATTGATTGAGGATATCATACCCACTTGGGAAGATGAGCAAAGCTGTGCTTGGTGGAGGGTGGGTTGTGGGAGGAAATGGGGGGGGCAGCAGCTGCAAAACATGAGATTCAGATCACTGGACTCTTCCAACTTTTGTGTAAAGCTGCACCATTTGCCATCCTGCTGCTTATGGGAGAGGTATTCCTCATTACTCTTATCGTCGCTGTAGTTTGTTCGACCTTCAGTGGTGTCTCAAAAGCCATCAGAGAGGTGGGAGCTTGCTTTAGTTGTCAAAGCCGTTCTGTGTTGGATTAGCTTATTAAAGTGCTTTGCTAGATTAGCTTACTGGCCCATCCCAATGCAGTTCTGGTCTAAAAAATGATATCAGAAGTTGTTTTGTGGACTCCTATGACATTCACCTCGAAGGTTAGCTCTGTATCCTCAAACTTTTCTATCTGTTCATTTAATGTAACCATTCTTAAATTTGTTTACATTCTTGCACATGTTTCTTCCACTCTTTCATGGTGGAATTGATTTCTTTGCTTGGGCAAGGAAGAATTTGCTGTCTTCTCCCCTAACCCCTTCAATAAAGCAAACACTGTGCATTTTCATTTCTATTGAAGAAATTGGTACAAAGGGAAACATGACAAAAAGGACCAAGAAAAAAGTGAGTGAGTGGAATCAGCAAAGTCTTTTCTAAAGACTTAAAACAACAAGAAGGCTGTTTGTAAAGAATCTTGTTTCTACAGACAGGCCTGGTTATATTTGTGACCTTGATTTATGAATTTGTTTTAGTTGTGATGATCCAGAAGTGGAAGATTATGGGAACAAATGGAGCATGAGTGCTATGCTTAGGTACCTGAAACAAGAAGGCAGAGACACAACTGGTGAGTATCAGGCTTTTTCCCTTTATAACTTCTCTTCTTTGGATAATTTTACCATTGTCTCTTGCTAGGAGTCATTCTCTCTAGCTCTGATAATGTCGCTGAGACATCCAATGGGATGATTGTTCTTGGCATTACTTTTTCCCATAATTTGCAAACTGGGGAACAGGCTTTCCATGACCCCTGCCCCAAGTCCCTTTTCTCCTTTCTAGTTTGCAAGGCATAAGTTTTTCCTTTAATCCTTGGAGAATTTATCCTTTCTGAATGTTGAACTGCTGAGATACTGTCAGGTTTTTATATAACACATTGCCTGTCTCTGCTTAGTTGTTTCTAAGTTAATCCTTCTCATTCATGTTGCTGAGTTGAAGAGTGGGCAGCATTTGTGTACTGGGCTTAACACTATTGCTGAGCCTTGAGCAGAGTGGGAACCTGGGTCCCTGAAGATACTCTCAGTTCACAAGTGAAGGGTCATAGGGGAAGCATGAGGAAGGAAGACAGGCTCCTATTCCATTCTCTGTCTGTTTGTTGTCACAGGAGACCACCTGTGTATATCCCCTAGTACCTGCGTTCTTGACTGTGTTGACCTCTCTGTGGATTTGCCTGCCCTGGTGGCTCCCATTCAAGAGACTACCATATAAAGGCTTTTTTGAATGAGCACATCCTCTTTTATTATTATACTGTGACCTAGAATCCAGTCCTAATAACCCATGCTTTTTAGTATTTTTTCCTTCATTTTTAATGTTTTGTTTTTGCAGCATTGATGGCCCATGTAGAAGACCTGATCATTAAAACTATAATCTCTGCTGAACTAGCTATTGCTACAGCCTGTAAAACCTTTGTTCCTCATCGCAGCAGTTGTTTTGGTAAGAAAAATGAAGAAGCTTAACATGTTTTGTGAAGAGGGTCCTGGGAAGTTGGGATGGGATTCTGGGGCAGAAAGACTTAGAGATTCTATAGGAGTTATACATATGTGTTGGTTTTTTAGTTCTTTCTAACCTCGTATAATATTTGAAGATCCTACTTAGGGAACAGTGTCGAACTTAGTTGGAAGTTCCCTAGGAGTAACTAGCTTTCTGTGTGAGAAGTAGGGATTGGAACTACAGTATGGATCTTTCTCTCAGAGCAGTCAGAAAAAGTCTGCAATGGACTATACAGGAATTCAGCTCTAACAAATATATTCCAGAGTTCTTTGGCAGCCAGGCTGGGAACTGTTCCAAGAAGCTCTGGCTGGTACCAGTATGTGCTTTCTCCCATTTTCCGATGACTCCTCCTTTTTGTTTTAGTCTCCTCTTTTAGAGGAGTGGGTTCCTCTCCCTCCTCTCCTTCCTCCTCTCTTTCTCTGCTTCTCCTCTTTCTCTTTCTCCTCCCTGCCCTTTGTACTCCACCCCCAGCTCCCTCAAAACAAGTTCAAAACCACTGGACCCAGAAACCTGTTACCTACTGACCCACTACCTGCCATTATGGCGCTAAGAGTGCCTATGTAGGCTCGGCGCCTATAGCTCAACCGGCTAAGGCGCCAGCCACGTACACCTAAGGTGGCGGGTTCGAATCCCCAGCCCAGACCCGTCAAACAACAATGTCGGCTGCAACCAAAAAATAGCCGGGCGTTGTGGCGGGCACCTGTGGTCCCAGCTACTTGGGAGGTGGAGGCAGGAGACTCGCTTGAGCCCAGGAGTTGGAGGTTGCTGTGAGCTGTAATGCCACGGTACTCTACCCAGGGGGACAGCTTGAGGCTCCGGCTCAAAAAAAAAAAAAAAAAAAAGAGTGCCTATGTACATATGCCTCCCACATGGATATGAGCTGGTTAGTGATTGCCTGTGTGAATGTTGGTAAAGTAACATAGGCTTTCGGCACTTTCACTAGGGTCATCAACAGTAAGGATGACTAAAGCATGGCGTGGAATGTAAGTAGCAAGAGTCATGAAGGCAGGATAATAGGAAAATAAAGAGTATGTAAAGAAACTCCTTTACATCCCTAACTAGTTTTATGATTTTCAGCAAGTTACTCGAATCCTTTTTTCTCCACTATAAAATGGCAGTAACAATGGTATCTACCTCCTGTGAGGCAATGACAATAGTATCTACTTCCTTCAAGGTAGAGAACCATGAAAATCATATGTGATCAGACCTGCAAAGCACTTGGCACAATGTCTGGCCCTTCAGTTTATACTCAGTAAAAATTATTTTCTATTTTTTTATAATTAAATATTAAAATTCTTGATTTCTTTAATGGATTATCATAACAGTCTGTACTTAGGGGCACTAAACAAAGGGAATTTTTGAGATTCGAAATAGAACATGGTAGGTCTATCAGGACCTAAAATTAGATAGGGAAAGAAGAGGTATAATATCTTTCTAAAATATGTATCTGTTCATGTCTTCTAAAATCCTTAAATGACTCCCTAGGCTTAAATAATATCATGGAAACTTAATGTGACCCTCAGAGCTTCTTAGAATCTGATCCCAACTGACTTTCCCAGAATTCTGTTTCCTCTCTTACACTTTATAATCCATTTGTATGATACTACACATCTGAGTGCCCTTGCTTTTGTGCCTCTGTGTAAGTTCTGCTGTTTGAGCGGAACACTGTCCTTCTGTCTGCTTTGCCTGCTCCTGTTTCTTTTCTAAGAATCAGCTCCACAGTGCTTCTTTCCAGGAGCCTTTCCTACCACAGTGCCCTGTTGTGTCTCCTTATGCTGTCCTGTACTTGTTTCATTATATTCTTTTCCTACTGCATGGTGATGTTTTATTTATACACACACTGCCACAGTAGTTTCTGAGCTTTTTTCCTTAAATTCTTAATAGTCACTGTGTCCTCCCTTCTCATCTAACCCTATTCTGAAAAATCATACCTTCACCATTCCCTTTGCCTCCCCAGTCCTTTTCTAACCCTTTGCGTTTCTATCTGTTTTATCCTATATCTGGAATACTTTTCTCCTGTTACTTTACCTAGTAGACTACTGACGTCTTTCAATACAAAGTCAAATACCACTTCTTTGGTAGCATTTTCCCTAACGTTTTAGACTGTCAGAGTTAGCCTCCCCACTGTCTAGCCCCAGCATTCTGTCCATAAGTCTGCAATAGTATCTGTGTATCATCTGGTATCCATTTATGTTTCTGTCTCCCCTACTGGACTGGAAACTCATTAAGGACAATATTTTGTCATTCCCACACATGGTAGCGTCTTTTGTTCTGAAAGGATGCTCAAGAAATGTTTGTTGAATGAATAATTGGTACTCTCTTTAGTTGCCTTTTGGCAGCCTGACAGAGGCTTCTCAGTGGATCTGGTTTGGTAAGGGCCTAGAGCTCTTAGAATTACTGCAAATCATTTGAGGGTGGGGATGAAGGGACTAGGAACATAACTCCAACTTCCAAAACCTTATTAAATTGAAACAAGTATTAAAAGTTTCTTTTCTGTATCTACTTAGCTCTTATATAAGGGTAAATTTCTGGTAGTCCTTGGTATAAAAATCTTTGCTCTCATAGTTAATTATAACTAATAAAAGCTTTTCTGAATATTGCCTCTTCTATTTTGTTTTATCACCCTACTGACTTTTGGATGCTTAGGAATTTATTGAACTTAATGACAATTGAATGTTCTGATGTGAAAAACGCAGTGACTTTCTCTGACTCAGTGAAATACCCACTAAATCCATTTCATCAGCCATGGGTCTCCTTTGTACCTCCGTACTTGTGTTCAGTTTTAATAAACTGAGTGCATCTGGAGTTTTTTAAGTTGTTGACTGTCTTCTTGGCTTCTGTGGTTCTAATTCCACTTCCTGTGAGCCCTGGGATTTTGTGTGCTTCATTAACCTTCTCTCATCAGATAGGATTTTGTATATGTGTGTGTGTGTGTGTGTGTTTCTTTGCCTCCTACTCACTCCTAACCTCCCCTAGGGTTTAAGTTATGGGGAATAAGCTAGTATTTTTTTCTTTCTTTCTTTTTTTCACTTATTTTAGAGTAAACAGGAATTGAAAGCTTCCCAGAAGATTTTGGCTTAAACACAGCATTGGCTCTTTTAGGAAAAGCTAGTAGTCCAGGGTTCACTGTATTTTTTGGGTTATTGTTTCTGCCCTTCTGTCTTCCAGATTTCTGCCGGAAGCATTCTATTACTATCTAATATTTCTGTCCTATGATTTCTTTCACATCTTTCTACCTGTAATGTTTAGCTGTGTTTCCAGGTATCTTCAGTATTCCCATTTATTTGTTTCTTTATGCATTTAACTCTTTTTTCAGTTCCTACTATGGGCAAGTCATAAATTAGTCTTTCACCAGTTCATTACCATTAACAGTTTGTTCTTCTCTAAACAGATTTTACATGGATGACCTATACATAAACCTGCATTGTATTATTAGATTATTTTTATTCTTCTTAGACTTGGAAATGTTGACAGATGACCTGAAACTTAGCCATTTAATGTTTTTTTTCATAGGTTTGTACATCTGGAAAGGGTCTTAAAGAATAATTAATCCAGATATGAAAATTAAACCTTCCCCAGGTTCTAGAGCTAGTGCGTGAAGGAACTCAGAGTGACTCAACTTGGAGAATGGGCCTTTAGAAGATGGGTTTGGCAAGCAAAACATCTCGATCATAGAACTCTCAGTTTATAAAATTTGAGATGCTTACCTCAATACAATAGATTTTTTGACAATCTAATTTTTACTTTCTTCCAAGATTGTGAAAATGTGGTGCTTTGTGAAATAATATGCTTAAACAGCAACCTTTTAAATATGCTTAGGAAATTGGCACTGTGAGATAACTGGCTATGAGAAAACTTTTTTGACTAGTTGAAGAAAAACAGCCAAAAACAACAGGATGTTACTGTTCTCTAAACATGCTGACAGTGGTTTTATCTATGTACATGTGAATGGCTGAAGTGATGGGCTATGAGCCTGGTCCTCTCCTGCCTGAGATCATGTGCATAAGCTAAAGGGCCTCTTATTGAACTGATCAGCCATGCCTGGTTCTCATCAGAAACCAGGGATATGTTTGCTCAGAACCTATCATTGCCTAGTATGCCTCTTTGTTGAATGAATCTGGTTTGGCCTTTTATTGCTACCATTTTTTCTTTTTTTTCTTTTTGAGACAGAGCCTCAAGCTATCCCCCTGGGTAGAGTGCTGTGGCATCACAGCTCACAGCAACCTCCAACTCCTGGGCTCAAGCGAGTCTCCTGCCTCAGCCTCCCAAGTAGCTGGGACCACAGGCGCCCACCACAACGCCTGGCTTTTTGTTGCAGCCGTCATTGTTGTTTTTGGTGGGCCCGGGCTGGATTTGAACCCGCCACCTTAGGTATATGTGGCTGGTGCCTTAGCCACTTAGGCCATAGGCACCGAGCCATTGCTACCATTTTTGATCATGGATAAGCTGAGGTTCTTATAGGGAGGGTATCCATAAATATTAAGAATTGTTGAAGTAATGAAAGTGGGCACATATGTTCTCCAACAATATAAACTACTTGACCAACAACAGAAAAATAACAGAAGTCAAGGAACTTTTCACTTTTTGAGATAATCTTTTCTGGCTTATCCCATGCTCCTGTTTAGGTGGTAAAAGTTTACCATAGAAGGAAGTTATATAGGAAGTCCTTACTGTATATCAAGCAAACACTGGTTATTTTCTATAGTTAGTTTAGCTGCATTGGTTTTCAGTTTTTGTCAATACTAGCCATATTTTACAGAGAAGGAAAAATGTTTCAGAAAGGTGAAATAAGTTGTCCGAGATCATGCAGCTAATGAATGAATGGCAAAGCCACGTTTGGGAGCCAGATCTCTCTGGCTCTTTCTCCACCTACATACAAATAGGTGTTGATTAGTCTGGTCACTTTTGGCAACCCTATATCCTAATTCTTCCTCTGTTCTTCT